GTCGTCATATACGGAACAACGAAACGTCTGGTATATCCCACACCACGGAGTATACCATCCGAAGAAACCAACTAAGATTCGCGTTGTTTTCGACTGTGCCGCAGAGTTCAAGGGAGAGTCTCTGAATAAACACCTGTTACAAGGCCCCGACCTAACGAACACTCTTACAGGTGTCCTAAACAGGTTCCGTCAAGAGCAGGTGGGGATAATGTGTGACATTGAGTCCATGTTTTATCAAGTGTACGTCGCCGAAGAGTACCGGGATCTACTGCGCTTCCTGTGGTGGGAGGATGGAGACTTTTCGAAGGATCCAATTGAGTACCGAATGACTGTGCACCTTTTCGGTGCAACCTCGTCTCCTGGTTGCGCCAATTTCGCTTTGAAGAAGACTGCGCAAGATAACGAGCGCGAATTGGGATCAGCTGCCGCTGACTTTCTGCGGAACGACTTCTATGTGGATGATGGATTAAAGTCCTGTGCCACGATTGAGGAGGCAAACCATTTGATCAAGTCGGTTAAAGAAATGTGCAGAAGAGGAGGTTTCAACCTGCAGAAGTTCGTTTCCAACAAAAAGGTCATAAAGAACATCCCAGTAATTGACTGAGCTGATGACCTCAAGAGCATAAACCTCGATCTTGACAAGTTACCCATGGAACGAGCACTCGGTGTTCAGTGGTGTATTCAGTCAGACACTTTTGAGGGGATCAGAGCAAGATGGGAAAGATGGAGGACAGAGTTTCATGTTCTTCAGCAATTTTCGATTCCCAGATGTTTTAAACCTGATGACTTCGGAATAGTAGTAAAGAAAGAGCTGCACCATTTCTCTGACGCCAGCATTAAGGGTTATGGTCAATGTAGCTATCTGAGGCTTCAAGATGATTCTGGCAGAATCCATTGTGCCTTTGTAGCTGGCAAGTCGCGAGTGACCCCCCTCAAGCCTGTCACAATTCCAAGCCTTGAATTACAAGCCGCAGTGCCTTCTGTGAAGATAAGCCAACAGATACGTCAGGAGCTAAGCCTTGGTGACGTCCAAGAGTTCTTCTGGTCTGACAGCAAGGTTGTTTTGGCCTACATCGCCAATGAAAGTCGTAGATTCCATGTTTTCGTTGCCAATCGAGTTCAGCTCATTCAAGACTCGACTTCAGTGGATCAGTGGAAATACGTTGAAACTAAGCTAAACCCGGAAGATGACGCCTCCCGCGGTCTCAGTCCAAATGCTCTTGTTACTTCGAAGTGGCTTACGAGACCTGCATTCTTATGGCAGAAGGAGAATAAATGGCCCTTCGATGAGAAAGTTTTGCCAGATCCCAGCCAAGTACTGCCATGTGACCCTGAGGTCAGGAAAGTCACCGCTTTAGCTACAATGTCGACGAAGAAGGAGCTGAAGATTACAGACCGTTTGGAGTACTTTTCTGATTGGTTCCGTGCCAGAAGAGCCATTGCCTTAAGTCTTCTGTATCTTCAAAGGCTACGAGAGCAAGCCTTTGCAGAGCAAAAGGTCAGCAATAAGAAGGCCATGCTTCAAGTGCAAGATCTTCAAGAAGCAGAGAATGTAATCATCAAGTCCGTCCAGTGTACCGCCTTTCCTGAGGAGCTTAAGTCGTTGAAGTCCTCAAAACATGTTAAATCCCTCGAAGACAGATTGGTCGCGCCACCAGAGATAAAGTTTAGTCCGAAGCAATCCTCCCTATATAAGCTAGACCCCTTCCTTGACTCGCAGGGAATTCTACGCGTTGGCGGCCGCCTTAGAAATGCTTCACTCCCGTTTGAAGTCAAGTTCCCTGTGATCCTACCTCGAAGAAGCCACGTGACTACCCTCATTATCAGGTACTTTCACGAGAAGATAAAGCATCAAGGGCGGGGCATGACTTTGAATGAGATAAGAGCCAATGGTTACTGGATCGTGGGTGGAACAAGTGCAGTTGGAAGCTACATCTGGAGCTGTGTTGTCTGTAGAAAGATGCGTTCTGCAGTGGTAGAGCAGAAGATGGCAGATCTGCCAAAGGACCGACTAGAACCTGCTCCACCTTTCACGTTTTGTGCAGTGGACTACTTTGGCCCTTTTCCATCAAAGAAGGCAGAAAAGAAATGAAGAAGTACGGAGTTCTGTTCACATGCTTAGCTTTAAGAGCCATTCATTTGGAGACTTCCACTTCACTTGAAACGGATGCCTTTATAAATGCGCTTCGTCGTTTTATATGCCGCAGAGGGCCGATTAGCCAACTACGAAGCGACCAGGGAACGAATTTTGTTGGCGCCAAGCATGAGTTGAAGGCTGCGCTTGCAGAACTCGACCACGAACGCATCAAAGCAGAATTACTTCAGAAGAATTGTGATTGGTTCGCCTTCGCTATGAATGTTCCATCTTCAAGCCACATGGGTGGAGTTTGGGAGCGGCAGATCCGTACAGTCAGAAGTGTCCTGTCCCCACTTCTTCAGAATAATGGCCTACAGCTGGACGACGAGTCGCTTAGAACGTTCATGTGCGAGGTGGAGGCCGTCATTAATAGCTGTCCGTTGACAATGACCCAGGTTCGCTGAGCCCCTTGACACCCAACCACTTACTCACTATGAAGACGAAAGTTGTTCTCTCGCCACCTAGTGTTTTTCCGGCAGCCGACAAGTTCTGAAGAAAGCGTTGGAGGCGTGTCCAACATTTGGCCAACGAGTTCTGGTCACGATGGCGGAAGGAATTCCCTCTTTAGCTTACAACAACGTCAGAAGTGGACAATGTTCCGGAAAGATGTGGGTGTGGACGACATCGTGATCATTAAAGATGATAACGCTCCCCGCAGTCGTTGGCAGCTGGCGCGTGTTTGTGCAGTCAACCGAAGTTCTGATGGACGCGTTCGCACGGTGAAGTTAGCTCTAGTAGACGCCTGTCTTGATAAGAAAGGAAGGAGAGTCAAGGAAGTGAAGTTCCTGGAGCGTCCAGTTCAGAAGCTTGTCCTGTTGATGTCTAAAGATAACTATGAGAGCGAATCCCGGGGTGAATCCCAGCCAAGGAGCCATTGACTTTGCTGATCATTTGATAGTTTTAAGCATGAACACTGAGACTTTTTATAATGTTTATTTATCCTTAGCCAATTAGCCTATTTGTAGTGAAACACGTTGGTGTTTCAAGGGAGCCATGTAAATGCGTGACTTTCAAACTTGCGTGACATTTGCGTTACAAAGTTTTTTTCTCCCGCTTTCATTAATCGCCTGTTCATGTTCGGTGTTCATCCAAAGTTAATTTATAAAGTGTGATTTCAAGCCACCGGCGTATAGGGACTGATATGTAAGATGTTTTCGCTTGTTTTGTTGTTTATCTCGTTTCGAGCAAGCTCTCTCGTCTTTATTTGTATATATATATCTTGTGTTTGCCGTAGCTCTTGGTTCATTTATTAGTTCCTTTATTATGTTAGATTCATTTACGCTGTTAAGTCGCCACGTCTTTAATTGAATACAATCTATTATATAAGTTCCTTTTTTAATTCGTTTACAGTTTACGAGATTGATTAAAGTTATGTCCCTGTAACATATCCCCTGGATTTGGTTGGCATTTTTCTCCGGTCACGATTTTCTTGGCATTTCATCGAGCCTTGATGTTCGTTTGCCGCAACAGGAGAAAGTGGCTCCATGTTTTGTGATACAAACCATTTCCTGAAGTTCGAACGAATCGGGTAGAAAGCATGAAAACATAGCACTGAAAAGTACGACAACCAAACAATTAAATTCACTCATTCCGCTGTAGAACCATCTCCATTTTACCCGTGAGTTTGTTTGCACCACACATTTGCGGTCCGTAATTTGATTCTCAGATGTTTAACGGGTTCTCACATGACAATATCTTCAAAATCAAATTACCGCGTTAGACTTATAACCATGAACATCGCCTACTCAATCTCATTTTATTTCAATTTTGGGAAAGGCCACTTCTTTGTTCTTAGGGTAAAACAACACATTTTGGCAAAGCGCAAATTTTTCAAATGAATAGAGTAAATCCTGCGGTAATTAACTGAAGGGAAAAAAAAAGTAGAAACTTGCGCTCGCCGTTCGACATCATTTGAAAACTTTCTGGGCAAAACAAAATACGTAAGATAACTTCTTTTCCCATAACACCACGACTGTATTAAACTTTAAAATGAAAGGCCAAGAAATAACTTGAAGAATACGAACACTATGCAATATTATTCGAGCGATGAACCGGCGTAAGAGTTTTTAGGCGATGAATGCCAGAGTCGATGTTTAACCGAAACGTGATCAGTTGAATTCAAAACTGAAGCTAGTATCAAACGACGATTGGAAAAAAAAAGTTTGAATTTTTCCTGGGTCTTAGCGTAAGAGAAAACCCAGATAGGACACGACTTACCTCCTCTTCTTTCGCGGATCCTCTGCAGTTCGCTTCTCTTTGTTGATGACCTCTTTTCAGTCTGTTTTCAGAAGCGACTTTGTATTTCCTTCTCGCTAGAAACTCGCCTTTTTACTTATGCCCTTTATTGTTCTCTTTCATGTTCCTCTCGCCGTATTCTGCCTATTTTGGCGTCCTTTGTAACTTTCTTGCGCGATTTTCTGGACTCGCTTTACGCCGTTTACTTGTTGCTTTCTTTGGTCGCTCTGTCTCTTTACATCCAGCCTATTTTCAATTAAAACCCTCTCTCCACGAACTTGAATTATAACAACTTCTCCCGGTTGACAAAGCTTAAACTCTGCCGTTATTGTTGTCTTACGAGTTGTTTAGAAATTGCAAAATACTGAGAATTACTGTTCAACTACATCTTGACCAGTTCGATTTCCCGCTCAAAACGCGGGTGGCAAATTTCATCTACTAGCTCACGTGAAGCCTCAGTGTAATGCGCCCGCAGTACGCTACACTGCAGCTCGACGTTCGAGCATGCGCACTTTAGCGTCATCTGACGGTGTCTCTTGGCGCACACTAGGGAACTTAAGCACCAGACGTTTTTCGGGCGACGGCGACGTCTACAAACGAGCGAGCATGGGTATGAGGGCGCCGTCGTTCCCGCCAAAATCCAAACTTAAGCATAGAGATATTTTTGCGACGGCAACCCATTCGAAACATGCCTCGAAAGCTTGAAAAAAAACCTGTGAAAAATGTCTTTTCGTGAAACAAGAGGGATGCTGTTACTAGCGTATGATAGTAAAATAATTTCTGATGAAGAATTCTTGGTCTTGTGGGAGAGCTGCCGTTCCAAGAACCCTGATTTTCCATACAGTTCGTATGCAAGATTTGATCTTGAAACATTCACGAAACCGAGTGTTTGGCAGAGTTCAGAGTCCAAAAACAAGACATTCCTGTGCTGGCAAACGTTCTTCAACTACCAATGAACATCCGTTGTCCACAAAGAACAATCTGTGATAGAATTGAAGGTTTATGCATGCTACTGAGAAGGTTTTCTTATCCTTGTTGCTATTCAGATATGATCAGCCGATTTGGAAGACCAGTTCCAGAGTTATGCATGATTACGAACGAAGTCATGGACAACATTTTCAACAATCACAGCCACAGAATATCTCAATGGAATGACGATATTTTGAACCCTCATTTATTACAGCAGTATGCTGATGTCATACATGCAAAAGGCGCCCCTATTTTCACAATAT